GCGGAGCGTTGCCATGGTAACAGCCGCGGGTCTCGCGAGAGTTATAGCTGGAGAGGGAACACAGCGTGTGATGGCCCCTCAGTGCAGGTAGCAGGGCCGGTCCTGCAGGACAGGTAACGGGAACGGCGTTCCTGCTGTGGAAAAAGTGCAGGAACGCCGTTCCCATGCGTTCCTGCAGGAATCGAGCCCTGCTAGGCAGGTAGTTTTAATTTTGTGGCTGATCAGTGTGTACATGCAGCTTATATGCATGACTATGACTTCAGCTCTCTAGAAGAGGAGATAAATGTCCTTCCTAATTGTGTGTTCAGAGTCAGTTCACTGGCCCCCTTGGGTACACAAGAAATAATTCCATTATTTTATTAGGCTGACAGATCTGATGTTTCTCATGGCTCTGTTATCAGATTTAGTGGTAAACATGATGCTGGACTATGATTTAATCTTGATAGGTCAAATAATCCAGTGCATAAATCGCCCATTAATCAGCAAAAGTCATGGTGCTAAGTACATTGCGCCCATCTGTGATCTAACTTCAGTATGTTGTTTTGTCATATGGATCTTTTATTTATGTCCTTTTCTTTATGCTGTGTACCTTTTATACACCTACAGATTTCTATTATCCTAGTATCTGGAGCAAACTGGGTCCACTGGGGCCCTAATGCCATATTACATTTTCAACCTGTTTTCCACCTTTCTGAAAAAAAAAACACAACTTAGGCAACCACAGAGGATTACCTTCCAATCCTTATTTAACTCTTTCAGCAAGATGAACACAGTTGGTAATATGATTCTACAGAGTGGAATAGCAGGAAGTACAAAAAGTATATGGACATTTTATAGAGAGTAACCTGGTTATAAATCCTTACTATGTAGCATTCTATTTGATTATATTACCATATATACTAAAAACATACATTTTGCTGTTCCTGCATACATTCCCTGTATTACAATTATTTTAAGGAAAAAAAAAAAGCACAAACCGGTTAAATTTCTTCTCTACATACAGCGATTTAACTCCTTCTTAACTGAATACAAAAATTTAAAAGCAATTATGTTGACATCTTGTCATTATCCAGTTCCTTGTTCACTATCTGGCCTGTAAAACCTGAGGATGTAGCGCAGCACCCAGAAGGCCTGCAGCAAGCTGTTTATGGAGGTGTATATATTGCATTCAAGATCTTTATGGTCTGACTGGTGACACCTCTTTGTTAAACTTGCAGCTGTTAAACAAACACAACCCCTTTTCAGGGATAAACTAATTCCTTTTCATTAAACCAATTAAGACACAACCTTGCACCATCGATGCCACCGTGCAGTGTAAGATGAGCAAGCACTGGCTCTTTTTAATTGTTGTGGGGTGATGGGAGGCCTTTATCTGCCCACTACCAAGAATGGCAAGGGAGCTGTTGTTTAAAAGGGCAAATTTTGTCATCTTGTTCCTCTAAGTTGCTGGTAATCACAGAAATAATATTGATCATCTGCATTATGAAGACATATTTTTGTCTTTCTCAATCATAATAGGGGTAAGGAACCCTTCATTTCATAAAAGTCTCTAGGACCCTGGTATACAAATTATGATGACCTACCTCCATTAAAATAGTATTTTATGCGGGGGTTGGGGTTTTAAAAATACCATATTCCCTTCTATTTATCTTAGACAGAAATTGGACCACTTTTAATATCACAATAACCTGATTATACTATATGCGTAGGTAACACAATCATGGGGGATTAGGGGAGAGTAGTTGTCCCACAAATAACTAGACAAGCATGAGACACTTTGAAATGAAAGTTAAAATGCTTTTCTTTCAAATAGTTGGTCTCGGGTCTGAATAGGACAGGTTTTGATGCAATTATGGTTATTATTATTATTAGTAGTAGTAGTAGTAGTATTTATATAGTGCCAGCTTACTCAGCAGCGCTTTACAATAAAAGGGGAATTTACCAAACAAGACAATAACAAAATGTAACCGGAACAATAGGTAGTTGAGGACCCTGCTCAAACGAGCTTACAGTCTAGAGGCTGATTATTATTATACTATGTTAAACAAGTTTGGACAGGCACAAGATAAACAATATTTAGCTTCTTTTTTTTAAATAAATTTTTTTAATGGTTAGATAATTTTTTTTTTCCAAGCATTTTTCGACAACATTACAAAATGGTAAGAAGTAATAGAATAAAATATATTTATCAACAATTCATACATTTCATTTTCTAATTCAAACTTTTATTGCAAAAAATATAATCTTTGGGAAGCTGAACTGTTATTCACCTAGCACTGTGGATAGACTTAGGGGGAAGGATTTCCCAGGTGGGTGTGGTGATCTCATGGGAGCAGGGATTGGGTTGCTGGGATAGGAACCACCAAGGATGGGGTACATTGACATTGTGGCAGGCTAATGCAATGTATGATCATATACTGTAACTAAACCCCCATTGTTTCGCCTAAGTCAGGTGTTTCTAAAAGAAAACTATTAAATACTGTGAGCTTTGAAGTTTCTGCTTAATGAATGAGTGAGTAAACTGGATTTTGTATATTAAATGTGAAAGCATAGTTTACATTTTTGAAATATTTGTCAAATATGGACTCATCATTTCCTGTGTATTTCAAAAACCTGACATTTCATGATTTACTGACACAAAAGCATATAATTTGTAGCATATCTCACTGAAGAAAAAAAATATGTCTTTAGCACACAAGTGAAATAGCTCATCAGAGGTTAATTGCCATGCCATACTGTTTTTATATTCCCAGCCACTGGTTTTAGACCACATTTAGCAAGGTTGAGGTGATTTAACTGTCAATGTTTCCAAGTTAATAATATATTAAACATAACATACCATTTGAAAAAAACACATTCATACCTCTGTTTTTACTCTTACACATGATTTTCCAATTAAGTGTGAATTGTTGTGAGTGCCCGAAAGTTTATTCTTTTTGTGAAAGACCTGGGGCACCATCTAACAAACACAACAGTAGTTCATTGCGAAATGTAAATTAGAGGCACTTATTTCCCGAATCACTGAGTTAAGTTAAAGTGTACCTTTCCAACAAATGTCACATCAAAGAATATAATATTTTAGTTTTTCATTGTGCTAGCCATTGTACTTGCTAATATATAGATAGTGATATATTGTATGGGGTTTGTTGTAGGAAAATACTCCTTGTAAGGGTACTGCGAGGTACTGCAAAAAGCTAAGAGTTCATTTAGGAGTGCAGTAGGAGCTCTTGCCCAATTCGGATCACGCACGTACACATTAGTAAGTTGTGGATGCCAATCATTAGATTTAGGGACCGAGTTGCTAAGTGAGCAGCTGTACCATCAATTTCAGGGTAAAATGCAGTTTGCAGAGGAAGTCTGCAGACAGTGATCTTCATGTTAGGATATTTTTAACTCTATGCATTTGCTAGTAAACTCAACACTACACTATATAGATGATAGTTATACCTATCGGAATCTGAAATTGTCATCTACATTGATGTTATTTATAGTTTAACCCACTAAACGCTATAGTTAAAAAATGTGGTGATTTCCACTGATTAAATATATAAAAAAAATAATTTTAAGAGTTCACTTTATTTTAAATGAAATACCCTTTTTCCAAGCTCTGGCTTTCTCATTAATGATAGAAAACCTTATATCAATTTAGTAAGACTATAACATTTCAAATAAGTAAAGTTTTATATAAGTTCTAAGTTAAGGTGACCTAATGTATGATCATTAGTGATGTCCCGAACTGTTCACCAAACGGTTCGCCATGGTTCACCACGAACGGTTCACCACGGACTCCAGTCAGCAGACACATTCCAGCCAATCAGCAGCAGACTCTCCCTCCCAGACCCTCCCTCCTCCTGGACAGCATCCATTTTGAAGCTGCATTCTTAGTGAGCTGTCCAGGAGGTGGGAGGGTCTGGGAGGGAGGGTCTGCTGCTGATTGGCTGGAATGTGTCTGCTGACTGGAGTCTGTGGCGAACCGTTCGTGGCGAACCGTTTGCGAACCGTTCGGCGAACAGTTCGGGACATCACTACTGATCATAAAAAAATGTCAGGCTATTTCCTGCAATTCAGGAATCCAGGCTGTTTTCTGCAATTCACATTGATATTTCAAAAATGTACGAGCCCAAAAACCGCAGCCTTTTTGGAAACCCCTATTTGTCTTTTACAAAAAAAGTGAGCAATGAAGAATGTTGATAATCACAAGCTGAACCCAAAAGGACAAATAAGTAAATAAATAAAAATAGTCCCTAACAACACATTTTTTTTTTCTTCCAATCGACATTCAACATGTGTTTAATGCATTTTGCAGTGGAGGCTCGTCCATCGTGGCAGGGCCCCACCGTTTTTTCTTGCAAAAAAATAAAAACATTTTTGTTGGGTTTTTAGCTTTTTTTGTGTAAACTTACACTTTTTTAACCCCTTAAGGACCAAACTTCTGGAATAAAAGGGAATCATGACATGTCACACATGTCATGTGTCCTTAAGGGGTTAATAAGTATATGTGTGATACAATGTGTTCTGTCCCTTTAAACATTAGTACTGCAGTTTCCCTTGTTATTCCCCTTTGCTGTTGCTTGGTAGAGTGATGGTGACATCTCAAATGTCTGAATAAATTCTATGGGAAGTTGCCCACTTCAACATCATTGGCTGCTTGGCAGGTCCTAGTGTTTCCTAATGGAGCTCATTAGGGCAGCAAATAGGTGAGACAAAAATTGCCCTTATAAGACATGACTTGGGGACAGTCTGGTAGTGGCTGCATGTGAAACATTTGGGTCCCCAACCCCTGTCATGACAGCAGGAACCGCTGTAACATGAGGTTCCTGTCACCTCTCTATGCTCTCCTCGGCCGGCTTCCACCTAAAGGTGAATCTAATTAAGGCAGGCACTGCTTCACACATCGGGTGCTTGCCTTTATAAGCACTACAGGCAGCACGGAAGAGAGCAGGCCGGGGAGTGCATAGAGAAGTAAATCAGCAGCAGCTGGCCTGTTGCTATTTGTTGGGAGCAAAATGGAATGTGGCCATTGAGACGCAATGCACTGACTGTGGAGCCTGCCCCCGAAATTCAGACACCACCTGGACAGCAGTGCCTGACACTTATCTCCCCCACTCCCTATGTTATACAGACAGGCATCGCCTTCCCTGGTCCCTCCCTTGGCAGCTCCCTTCTTGCATGGAGCAGACAATGCCAGGCAGGCATCCAGTGTTTGAAGAGGTGCTGGCCATACTTCAGTGTAAAATGAACCTCAGACCCTGCCCTGAGCCCATCACTGCAGTCACATAGTGACAGGCACCACTAGAACAGCAGGTCCCTATCGCTAAAGCAGCTTAGAAACATAGAAACATAGAATGTGACTGCAGATAAGAACCATTCGGTCCATCTAGTCTGCCCAATTAATAAATATGTTCATAAGTCTCTGGCCTTATCTTATAGTTAGGATAGCCTTATGCCTATCCCACACATGCCTAAACTCCTTCCTACCACTTCAGCTGGAAGGCTATTCCATTCATCCACTACCCTCTCAGAAAAGTAATACTTGCTAATATTATTTTTAAACTTTTGCCCCTCTAATATAAGACTATGTCCTCTTGTGGTTGTTTTTCTTCTTTTAAATATAGTCTCCTTTACTGTGTTCATTCCTTTTATGTATTTAAATGTTTCCATCATATCCCCCCTGTCTCGTCTTTCCTCCCAGCTATACATGGTAAGATCCTTTAACCTTTCCTTGTAGGTTTTATTCTACAATCCCTAAACCAGGTTAGTAGCCCTTCTCTGAACTCTCTCTAAAGTATCAATATCCTTCTGGAGATATGGTCTCCAGTACTGCGTACAAAACTCCAAGTGAGGTCTCACCAGTGTTCTGTACAATGGCATGAGCACTTCCCTCTATCTACTGCTAATACCTCTCCCTATACAACCAAGCATTCTGCTAGCATTTCCTGCTGCTTCATTACATTGTCTGCCTACCTTTAAGTCATCTGAAATAATTACCCCTAAATCCCTTTCCTCAGATGTTGAGGTTTTTACGTCCAAGATGCATTATCTTGCACTTATCCACATTAAATGTCAGTTGCCATAACTCTGACCATTTTTCTAGTTTACCTAAATCATTTGCCATTGGCTTATCCATCCTGGAACATCAACCCCTTTAAATATTGTACTATCATCAACAAAAAGACATACCTTACCATCAAGACCTTTTGCAATATCACTAATAAAAATATTAAAGAGAATGGGTCCAAGTACAGATCCCGGAGGTACCCCACTGGTGATAAGACAATGCTTCGAATATACTCCATTGACTACAACCCTCTGTTGACTGTCACTCATCCACTGCCTTACCCATTCAACATTATTGGAATCCAAACTTAAAGATTGCAATTTATTGACAAGCCTTCTATTTGCAACATTGTCAAAACCCTACTGAAATCTAGGTAAGTGTCTACTGCACCACCCTGATCTATAATTTTAGTTACCCAATCAAAAAAAATCAATAAGATTAGTTTGGCATGATCTCCCTGAAGTAAACCCATGTTGTCTCTGATCTTGAAATCCCTGTGATTTTAAATGTCAGCAATCCTATCCTTTAACATGGTTTCCATTACTTTTTTGGGCACAACATTTGCTAACTTCCAATCTTCTGGGAATACTCCAGTTAACAAGTTTGGCCACTGGACAGACTGTTCATTTATTTGTTATAACATTTTCTCTTGAAGAATTTCCTCAGGAGAATGTTTTATAATTCAAAAATCTCAAGTTTTATCTAGCATTTTACTGCAAAATAATTTTTAAAAGTAATTCTGTAAAACATCTAGTGTCTAAATTCTATATTAGGCTTGTAATTTGAAATGAGCCTCAAAATGGCCAACTTATTTAACTCACTCATAGGAATCTGTCTATATGGTTTATTCCCTAAATATTGTATTGCCTTCATATTTTGGAGGTAATATAGCCATATATACATATTTCTATTCATTTGAAATATGTTTAGTCAAATCCATTTGTCACCAGCCACCACTGGTAGTTTGTAAGGCTGTTTTTTAGAGTAGCTGTATCTTCTATCAAAGCTTTACTTGAAAGGAATTCAACATTTTAATGAGAGAGGATTGGCAAGTCTAACTTTGTAAAATTTGATTGAGGAAACGATAAGGGCAGTTCAAGAAAATGAAAATATATTAAAAAAAAAAATATTTACCTATATTTCATCAAAATGTTAGCTCAGTACAGAATGATACATCTGTTCTGTTATATAGCATCTAAATAACTTAGAACATAGTCCAAAAAAATGTTCTTTTAACTCTCTTTAGTTTTATATATACAGAATGCTATTCACTGCTCTTAGTAAGACACATTAAAATATCATAGCTCTTTGTTTAATAGATAGAACATTGGCCTTTTTGGATGTACAAAATGTCCATCTGAGTAATGTAACTACTAATTAGTCATTTGGAAAAAGATTTAGCATAGTGTTTACTGATTTTATGAAACTGTAAACGAAATCCCTGAAAAAGAAGATTGATGAATCTAATGTTAGCGTAAAATAGAATATATTCTCGGATGTGATTATTTAGAGAATGGGGCATTGGTGGTGTATACAGGAACTTACTTGTCACATTTTTAGTGTATGTATATTTAGATTTGTCTTAGCAGTTCATCAAAATGTTTACATCTTTAGATATGCAGAAGAGTTACAGTTAATAACGAGGGAATATCAAGATAAGTGCTTGGTATGGAAAGAAGTGAAATGAAAAATATAGGAAGCAGTGTAATAGTTCTTGAAGTTAATCCACATTTAATACTTTACATCAGTGGTCCCCAACCCAGTCCACATGGACCATCAATAGTCCAGGTTTTATCAGTTATCTCTATTTGAATAAAAAAGGGAAATACATAAATTCTGGACTGTTGGTGGACCATGAGGATTGGGTTGCGGACCACTGCTTTACATCATTATAGTCATTTAGTAGAGCATATAGCCCAATAGACAATTTTAACTTGGAATTTAGTGAACCATAATCCCTTGGAATTTCCAATTAATCTAAGCAGTATTTGTAAAGCGTTGGTCAGTCAAAAGTAGGATTGCATAGCAGTAAAAACATTAATTTACTGTATGTCAAGGCACCCAACAGGTGCGCTCTCCCCACGGTTTATTCACCTGCCACTATCGCCTCTGTACCCTGTGTCCGTTGCCTCTTCCGCTATTCGGTATGATGCCAGCCGCTGCGGGGTTTAGCCTTTCCTGACACTGTGGAGGTTAGTTGATTTTGCTTGGATTGGTTCAAAGTGATTGTGACAGATCTCCCTGTCCCTGGATTTTACAGCTCTTTGTTCCCTTCGCCTGTTTCGGTGAAATACATTCATCACATATGTTAACATTGCCTCATTCGAATAATGAATAAACTACCGAATAACCGACCACCCAAATGAGGAATGTGCAGCTTGTTGACCCTATTAACCTTTACTAACACCTCTGTAACCTCAATCACATCAACGTTCTAAGCGGTCGGCTGGGTGGTCGAGGTTTGTTTGTGCAAATACATGACGGTGGCAATCTTTTGAAACACATGGAGGGGATTGGAAGAATGAGACACATGAAGAGTCTGGGAAAATGACACACATGGACAGGATGGAGAGAGAATGAATCACATGGAGGGGATTGGAAGAGAATGAAACACATGGAGGGGATTGGGATAATGAGACACATGCAGAGGCTGGGAGAATGACACACATGGAGGGGATGGGGAGAGAATGAAACAAATGGAGAGGATGGGGGGAATGACACATATGGAGGAGATGGGGGGATGAGACGTGTGGGGGGCACAGGGCAATTTTTGCACTGGGGCCTAGTGGTTTCTAATCACACCTCTGTTTAAAAGCAAGAGGGAAATATCAACTAGACCAATTCTGGGTGTAATTTAGATTTTGGCACAGACACTCACAATAATTGATGTTTAC